TTTTAAGCTTTTAGAAATAGTACATTAAATCATTGAATTACCTACTTTGAAAGGAGGTGATAAGAAATGCATTTGCTCAAGGACATATCAGAGATGAATTAGGTCTCCAGTGAACCACACAGCAGGTTCAGGCTGAAGGGGGCACAGGAAAGAAAATCTCACTAGCACTAGGAAAATTTAGCTCTGTCCTGAAAGTCACAGAGCCTGGCAGTTAGGTGGCACACCATAAATATTAAACAGCAAAAAATAAGTGAAATTCAGGGAAATTGCTTAGCTTCTTCAACACTCAGTTTCTTTCTGTGTAAAATGGGATAAGACCCTGTCTATACTAGTTATCTTCAGCAGGATCAAAAAACAACATATCTGGAAATGTTTCGTGAGCTGCAAAGAACAGTATGATTGACAGGAATGTCATTTTATATGGGAGCTTCAGATTTTTTTTTTTTTTTTTTTGATCAAGAGGACTTTGTCCTATTACTTTTGTGAGGCGTTGGATGGTAGTTTTAATTCACCAGGGTTTGAATTTTACTTCAGGGGAGAGGTTTTTTTTTTTTTTTTTTTTTTTTTTGTCTTTTCTTTTTTGGTGCTGGGATCGAACCCAGGGCCTCACGCATGCTAGGGAAGCGCTGTACCACCGAGCTACATCCCAGCCCTGAATTTTACTTCAGGATATCCTGCTGTTCTATTTCTTTCATCTGAAATCACTTCCAAGTGTGCAGTGGTCACTGAGCCCCTATAAACTAACAAATTATGTTCTCCACATAAGAAAAAAAAGGCCTGTATGGCTCCTGATACACTGAAGTCCTTGACGCAGCTGAAGAATCATGTTGAAGGTAGGAGAGAGGAGTCAAGACATCCTTGCTCTGTGGAAAATTCTGTTTTCTTCCATTCCTCTTTACAAATACCTGTTTAACCTCCTATCAGAGTTTAAGCACTCTGGAGTTAGAAGAGGTCCGTTTTTGAAGAGGCTTTACCTCAAAAACCTCATTCAGTTTTCAAAAACACTGAAAGCTGATCCAAGACACCCATTGTTATCCTGAGGGACCCAAAGTGGAGAAGTGCTGGTTTTAGCTCTGGAACAGGGTTAGTGGAAGCTCCACTGGCCAACAATTTCCTTTATACCCTTCCCAGTGTCCCCCACTGCAACCCTACCACCATAAATACATCCCTGAAATTGCGGTCTTTTCTTAGATGACTCAATGAATCTGAAACATTTAACTAGTAGAGTTCATCAGACAAAAACAAGAGGCCAAGCTGACTGTTACATTTACTTAGTCTGAGGGTTGTCCTGAGCGCCTGACTTCTCTACTTCAGACTAGCTTGGTAGTGAGGAATTTAGAACGCACAGTATACAGACAAAGGAACCTAGAAGCTCGGGGAGGTTAATTAACAACTGCCCAAAAAAACCATCAGGAAGGATGGAGCCAGAATTCAAACCCAGTCAGTCGGCACAGAGCCCCTGCTTTGCTGTCTTTATCTAAATAAATTAAAAACTTGAAATATTCAAAGGGACAACACAGTATCTTCTTACCTAACATACAGAGAGCTGACTTTGGTATACTTTGATGTAACTTTTTAGAGGAAACCCGCTGTCTGTATATCTTAATCTTATTACCCATTTTATAAAAGTACATCTGAACCAGAGGGGAGGAACCTCTACCAGTGCACATGTCCAACTGTTCATTTAAAAAGCATAATCTGAGAACATTTGAAGTCATTTGTCCACAGACAATACTCAGAGAAAGTTCTCAGAGTAACAGGAATCACAATAGCCGTGGGACAATGTCTCTTCCAACACTCAGCTTCAGGCAGCCAGGCTGAGCGCGATTATAGAGAACTTTAAGAAAACAGCATCAGGGCTTCATGGCCCTTAATGCAGATAAAGACCCACTAAAGATTATCTTGCCAATTTGATAAAATAATAGGAAAGATAAGATGAACACTGTAAGAGAATACATCTGAGGGACACTAAGAAAAACGTCTTCATAATTACTTATAACAGGACATCCTAATCACAGTATTTGCTCAAAAGAACATTTCGGCTTTTAAAACCACTCTAAGAGAGCCCAACATGATAGAAATTCACCAAAACTAGTTTCTAATAGCTCTATCCCAAGGAAGCAAAGTGGGTCTTTCCCCTTGCTCAGAGGAAGCAAAGAAAACAATATTCTCGCCATTAAGGACCCAAAGCTAAGAGAATAAAGATCAAGCGGGAGACATTTGAGGAGCCACAGCAGAATGAATGAATATTCAAATGGAACATTGGGCTGTATAGCCAGTGCTCCCTTTCTAAGACAAAACAACATCCAGTCTTAACGCACTTCAAGTCTCAGTGTGATATTTAAAATAGCTACGTATCTTTTTTTTAAGCCTGCCAGAAAATATTGGCCAATAATCAAAACATGCCTCTGTGTGTGTGTGTAAAAAATGTATCTCAGAGCTCTCTGATAGACACAGCGCCATCACTTAGATGTTTACGGGTTGCCTTCTCTAGCAGCTTATCCAAGACACCTATCTTCCCAAGTGTCATCCACCCAATTGAGAAAGTGTGATACAAATTTCAAACTCCCAGAAACAAATCCTACTCTGCTGAGAGCTAAGAAATTCCCTATCATTTTTCAATTCATCAAATAATACTGATTCCCAAAGAATTTTTTTCCCATCAAAACAAGTTAAATTCTGATGTAATTAATATGTCAAGGTAATTCTCAGGTGGCTCCCTTATCTTCAGCAATATTATTTCAACCATAAGAAAGGACAAGGGGTCATTTTCTTTCAGGTGTGTGCCACAGGGACAGGGAGTGAATTCTGACCTGCACGCAACACCATTTGTAGACTTCTGTTCCTACTCCTTTGAGGCCATATGAAGATATATACATGTCCCCCAAATACATCTGAATGGATTTGTCCTCAGTCACAAACAAATACAAAGGAACTGGCGCTAAATTTACTAGAATGATCTACCCACTAATTCTAAACTAGTCAAATTTAATGCAAGTAGAGTCAGGCACAAAGATATTTCCAAATGGATGGGTCTCAGAAGTATTATTTCTTGTACATTTAGTTGATTTCAAAGGACTCTTTGGAGACAGGGAGAGAAACTGAACTACGGTGTTAACAGAAATTCACCTAAGCCAAGTAGAATGGGGTGAAGTTGCAGTAGTACCAGCCCATTGCATGTGGCAGCCCTGGAAAGAGGCCTATGGCAAGTTAGTGACACTAATGATGTCATCAGAAAAATGAAAGGAAAAAAAAGGCAACAAACTTAGTCACATATGGCAGAGTACCTGAGGCAGATGAGTTGTGAGGGTGCACTAACAGGTTGGTCACACGTTACTGTACTAAGGTTGGGGTGCAGCTGTGTGCTGAAGAGAAGCTTCTCTCAGTTCCTGCTCTCCTTCCTAGCTGGGAGATTTTGATCTTTAATTCAGTGGGGAAGAGGACTGGCAACCATCATCTGAGTACCTACTATGCGCCTGGCACTCACCATCTTACTTCACATCGTCAGGATCCCTGACAGAGGCTCCTTCTGTGCTGGGTGACCTGCTTTGCTCCTGCCACTTGCAGACACCCACACTGCTGCAGACTCCCAGCCACAGCGAGGCTCAGAAGATCAAGGGACCAGTCGCAGCAGCCTTTTTAACTTTGGGAAAACCCAATGCTCACTTCACTCAAACGTCGCAAAGTGGTGCCATGACCCTTTAGCTCTTGGCTCACCAATTCAAAGAGCCACATCACATACAGCCCTTCGGCTGCCCACGGCATGATTCTGTGTCTAGTTCCTTTCCAGGTCCCCCCAAGCGGAAGACAGTTCTGGCAGGGAGTCCGGACAAGATTACTGTAATATTCAGCCTTTGTCCCTTCTTTTGCTGTCTTACTGTAGATAAGGCACTCAGGTCTGGGAGACTGAGGGCCTCAGCGTGTGCTGGACTTGAGACCTATTCTCAAGAGGGACCTGCTGGACCTCAAGTCACTTCATCTAGTCCAGAAATCTCCAGCTCAAAGGTGAAGAAACTGAGGTTCAAAGAAAGTAAAGCAGGGAGCAGCTGGGGGGGCCTGGTACAAACTTAACTCCAACACCACTACCTCCTGCCTTCCTAAATTTACTGAGTACCGAAGTAGATGGGACACGGGCAGCACTAAGTGACACCACGTCTCAACACAGTAATTAATGGTGTGAGTGTGTGTACAACCATCCTTCCTCTCTGGGCTTTAGTTTTCTCATCTGCAAAACAGGATTGGTGTTTCTAACGCACCTTTCAGCTCTGAAACTGTCATAAGGTTTGGTATACAAATACGGGAATACACATGTATATATCATATAGGTGAATATGGACATATATATACACGCACACAGTATACAATTAAATCCCATTTCAATTTTGCCTAATCCCCCCTGGTGACCACGTTTTCCTAACTGCAAACAGAGCGAGATAGGTATCATCATTGCAGAGCCCTGGTTGCCCCACCTGCTTCTCTCCTAATACCCAGCGCCGAATGACAAGGAAGAGGGGGTCACTGCTTTTACTACCAAGTCATTAAATTCCTTGGGGGGGGGGACGGCCAATCCGAAGCAGGGCCGAGCTGGGGCCGCGGGGGATGGGGGAACACATAACACACCGCAGGAAGCACAAGTGAAAGGTGACACTGTGGCTGCCCGAGTCTGGGGCCCATGCACCCAGTGCGCAGCGCATGTCCATGCTCGGGACCAGCCTGGCTCTCGGCCACGTTGGAGGTCAGGGACGGCACCCCGGGTTTGCACAGCCCGCGCGAGCAACCCTGAAAGCGTGCAAGCGGGGCACGCGGCGGGAACTTGGCCCGCGGTGCGAGCGCACGTGGTACCACTGGGCGTGGGGCAGGACCGCGCGACCCGCCGGGTCCCCGCCTCGCCCCTCCCCCACGGCCGAGAGGCCGGCGCTAGGACCCCGCGCAGCCCGCGCACTTCCTCCGCCGCGGTCGGGCCGCCGCCTCCGCCGCCACCCCGGCTCCCCGCCGCCTACCTGGCGAAGCAGTGCTCGCAGTGGTTGCCGCGCTCGGCGACGGTGAGCACGTAGGCGTAGGCCGGGCAGGAGAAGAGCAAGTCCCCCACCTGGAAGCACTGGAGGGCCCGCAGCCCTCGGCCCTTGCCCGGGCTGCAGAAGCGCTCCAGGCCGCCGTGGCCCTCGGCCCGCATGGTGGCGGAAAGGCGGGTGGGGGGGTGGCCGGCGCCGCTGTGGCCGAGCGCGGCGCCCCGCGAGCTGTTCTGGGAGACGCGTCACCCCGAGCCGCGGGGGGCGGGGTGGGAAGCGCCCGCAGACGCCACGGCTGCCCGCGCCCCGGAAGGGCCGCCCCGCCCCTCCCCGCCCGGCCGGCCGCGCGCGCGCGCGCGCCCCGGGGAGGCGGGAGAAGGAGGGGGCCGCCCCGCCCCCGGACCCCCGAGGGACCCCCGGACCCCCGAGGGACCCCCGGCCGCTGCCGGCGGGGTCGCGGTGGGGTCGCCGGGGCCGGTGTCCGAGGGTTCCCCGCATGCACCGTGGGCCTGGACGGAGGATGGCGCGCCCTTGACGACAGGAAGGGGCGAGGAGCTCTCAGCCCCGCGTGCCTGCGTCCTTGGCACGGACCCTAGAAGGGCCCCTCTGGGAACCCCGAAGGGACACTGGTAAAGGGAAGCTCCAGCAGGAAAGATGGGTGTGTTTCCCCGCGCGTCCGGGACCCTAGGAGGCTGCCTCGCTGGGAACGCTTTGCCCCCTGCCCCGCCAGTGGAAGTCAGTTGTAGGGACAGAAGGGGAGGTGCGAGCTCTGCGGAGCAGGCAGGGGATCCCCCTTCCTTCAAGAAACTTGGACTCCTGTTGGGGGCCGATGCCATGCGTGGCCAGAACACTGCAGTGGCTTTGATGGCTTGAGTACCCCACCAACTGTGATCTTAGAAAAGCCGCATAGGCCATGAGTCGCAGAGAGGGTTTGAAACGCAGAAAGCTGGTAGAATACTGCCTGGCCTGTAACTCCTATACACGCACATGCTATTGTTATTCATGTGAGAAAATATAATGTGTGTTGCACATAGCCACAAAGGCTGAAAATTCATATGACTGTTTTACTTACAAAGACAAAAAGTATTAAGAGATAATGTTGCAGATGTGATCTCAAATTGTGTTACCCCTTTAGTTCAGGACTAATTTAGCAAAGGGAAACATGAATATTACTGGGAGTATATCACATCATCAGGGGAATTAGGAGCACTTCAAAAAAAATTCCTTTATTAATGACAAAATAAAGAAGCCCTTGGCCTTTATTTGGGCATCATGGGTACGGTTTCACGTCTGTTTTAGGAGACAATGATTGACTATGAGCTAGTCATTGGGCTAGAAAGTTGGACCAAGTGTAGCCTGGCCTACTTGATTTAAAACATTTGAGTCCAATAATAATTACCACTAGTTATTGAGTATTATGGGCCAGGTATTGTGCTAAGTCACTAAACACATAATCTTGTTTAATCTTACAACAGCCCAGTGAGTCAGGTCCTAAGAGAAAATTCTTTTCTTGTGCTAGCTAGCTACCTGTTAGTCGTCTTAGGAAGCATCACTGCAGTGAACCTTACCAAAAAGAGCAGGCTGGCACCTGTCAGGAGGTTTTTAATGCTCAGAGTGAGCTTCTGTGACCTGATGTCTTAGTCTATTCTCAGTTACTTTAACAGAATACCTGAGACTGAGAAATTTATAAAGAGATTTATTTTAGCTCACAGTTTTAGAGATCCAAGAGTTTTCTCAAATCTTAGAAGTTTCTGAATACATACCTACCTAGACAAGTTTTGAATATGTTTTTGGACTCATCATTTTCTTTTGTTTTTTACCATTCTGATTTCCAATGGCTCTCGCCAGCACAAAGATGAAAAGATGCATAGAAATAAACATTGCATATTTAAAATACAGTAGACAATTTACTGTCTCAAGGATCCCTTATGCAAAGTGATCTACTTGTTTCCTTTTTTATTTACTGAACAGATTTCTCCCTATGGAGTTTTCTTTCCAGGTGAGTAGAGAACACTGAAAAAGAAGCAGCCTCATTTCAGAACAATCTTGGTGCTGAACTTAAGTGACTCTAGATGGGGAATGGTTAGTGAAGGAATTGCCATGAATTTAGGGGCTTGAATTACGAAGAAAACTGTGTTTAAAATAAACAGCCAAAGAATGGCTTCCACCCAGCCAGGGCAGACCGATGACAGCACTCTTCATGCAGCTCATACTTGTCACTCAGCCACTCTGCATTCTCACATTCCCTGAAAGAGGCCTTCATTGCTGCCAGGACCCATCCACCTTTCTCACTCTCTTGGCCCCGTGATTGGGAGAGACTGGAGTCGGAAAGGAGAGTTTTGGTTGCTCTGCCTCACTGAAATGCAGGGGAAGAAATGGCACCAAGATGAAGGCCCCCTTTGCTAAATTTCTGTAACCTAGAGGATGATGTAATTCATGAGTAAAATATCCTTCCAGCCACAGATTAACACATGAAAGAAATAGCTCTGGCCTGGGGAAATAAAGCCCTAGCAAAGAGGGACAATTAAGAAAATGGACAGGTGTGCTGTACGTGCATTTCATCTATTAAGCACATATCAGGCGCTTACGATGTAGCAGGCCCTAGTTGTATGAAGGTGAAGAGGTTGACGTGTGTGTAAACTTTTGTGAAGTAGCTGAATAACGGCACTCAAGGATCCTTATCCCTGCACCTGTAAGTGTTACCATATGCGGTTTAAGAAGGACTTAAGGATGTGTTAAATTTAAAATCCTAGTTTATGCAGGTGGGCCCTCAATGTAGTCACAAGTGCCCTTATGAGAGAGGCAGAGGAGATTTGACATGGACAGAAGAGGAGGCACCAACGTGACCACGGATGCAGAGATTGAATTTACATGGTAATAAGCCAAAGAATGCCAGCAACCACCAGAAGCTGGAAGAGGCAAGAATCAGATTTTCCCTTGGAGTCTTCAGGGAGCACAACCCTGCTGATATCTTGAGTTCAGACTTCTGCCCTCCATAACCACAAGAGGATAAATTACTGTTGTTCTAAGCCATCTCACTTGTGATCATTTGTTAGGGCAGCCACAGGACAAAGACCCCACATTTTCCCTGGGTAATAGAAATGAGTGTGTGGAAGAAATGACTAAAACCTTTCAGAAGTCTTCCATGGGAACCAGGACAGTGACTTGCCATCATGCTATGATCCGAATGTTTGTGTCCTGCCCTCCCAAATTCGGAAGTCCAAGTCTGACCTCCCCAGGTAATGGAATTAACAGATGTGGTCTTTGGGATATCATGAAATCATGAGGGTGGAGTCCTCGTGATGGCATTAGTGTCCTCATAAAGAGGCCTGAGGGAGGCTGTTTGCCCCCTCTGCCATGTGATGAACAGCCACAAGGTGCTGTGTTTGGGGAATGGGCCAGCACCAGACATCAGACCTGCTGGTGTCTTGATCTTGGACATTGCAACCTCCAAAGCTGTGAGCAGTAACAGTGGCATTTTATTACAGCAGCCACAACACACTAAGACACCCTCCAAGAACACCCCTGGCAATGAGAACAAGGGACACTGCAGGAACCTGTATGGACAAATGACCAAGAACCAGATGTCTCCACCCTGCCATGTCTTACCATGATGGAGACACCCAAATGTAAGAGGGATGGAAACTGACTGAGAAGACATTTCACCATTCAGGGGCAATGAGAGGCATAATGAAAAGTGTAACCATGTCTTTCTTTTTTTTTTTTTTTTTTTTCCCAGTACTGGGGTTTGAAGCCACTCCACCAGCCTTTTTTTTTTTTTTTTTTTGTGGGTTTTTTCAAAATAGGGTCTTGCAAACTATTTGCCCAGACAAGGTTTGAACCTTGATCCTCTTGATCTCTGCCTCCTGAGCAGCTAGGATTACAGGCGTGAGCCATCCATGCCTGGCTTTGTTGTGTCTTAAATACATGAATTTATAGAAGCGCTTCATTTGTCCAGTGTCTCCCTGTCCCATGTGCCTTGTTACTACCATCAAACACATTGTCATAAAATAACTGCTTTAATAATGACCCTCCCTTTCTGTTGAACACCTTCCAATTACCCCTTATCATCCATCTCACAAGGTCAAGTTCTTCTTTCTGGCTTTAAAAACCCACTTCTGTCTTACTCAGCTTAAGTCCTAGCTACTCTGAGATGTCTCCAACTTTTCTTCCCGTTAACAATCTTTGCCTCCGAAGCTAAGTCTTACCTGTGGGTTTTGTTCTTATCCTTTAAATAGTGCAGAATTTTGTTCTGACAGTTACAGTAATTTAAAATCAGCTTGATTTTTTTGGACCTTATTTGAAAGCTTTTAAAGGACAGCTTTAGTGCCATATGCTGTATTTACTTCATAGTCTTCTCAGTGGATAGCATGATTCTTGTTATGTGTTAGTTTCTGCAATATTTGATGAGTGACCAAAGTACTGATATTGTTAATTAATTATTAACTTATTAATTTAGATGGTACTGAAGTTTGAACTCAGAGCCTTGTGCTTGCTAGGCAGGTGTCCTACCGCTTGATCCACACCCACAACCCTTTTTGAGTTGGTTATTTTTGAGATAGGGTCTCAACTTACGCCTTGGATGCCCTGGACCACAGTCCTCCTATTTGTGTATCCTCAAGTAGCTGGGATGATACCACACACAACTGGTTGAGATGGGGTCTCTCAAATTTTTTTACCCCTGACTGGCCTTGACTATCAATCCTCCTTATCTCTGCCTCCCAAGTAGCTAGGATTACAGACTTGAGCCCACAGCACCTGGGCTATACTGACAATGTTTTTGAAGTAACTCCTAGACTTCATTAGCCCATTATCCAAAGAATGAATAAACAATTCTAAGTAAGCAAATCTAGAAAAAGTTTAAAGAGATCAATATCTATTGAGCAGAATCTGTATTCCAAGGTTGTTATCAACAATTATAAAAGTGATGAGAGATTTTGTTGTTGTTTTAAAGGAGTGCATTGTTGATTTTCCTGATCACAGAGTTCTACATGTGGACTTGGAATGCCCGTGAATCCAGGGGGCCGAAGGCACTCGTGTCTTGCTCTGCTGCCTGGCTGGCAAACAAAGGTGTGAATAGAAATAGACCTGTGCTTACAGGCTGAATGCAGCAAGAACAGATCACTCTCATGCATAATTCACAGTCTGACTCCAGCATCTCAGCTGCATTGCAGCATTTTTCCTATGCTGTCACCCCAGAAGGAACTCTTTGTACTGGGGGAGGAGTAAGAAAGCCAAAAAAATAGTACATGCATTATGATATCAGAGGCAGATTGATCAATTTTTAAACTTCCAGCCATGC